CAGACGTCTATTTCGGCCCGGCTTCGTGATGAATTCTGCACGTCAGGAGATGCGGCCATGATGTATCCGGCACGGGTGTGGGGGTGGGGGTGGGAACATGGTGAGCATAACGGCGCCGAGTGTTGTGTGGGTCGATCAGGAGACTGTGGTTGTCCGCGTCGCGTGAGCGTGTCTGTTGACGCGTGCTTCATCCGGGCCTCTCGTGACTTCGGACCAGCATCCTGGGATGTGCCTTGCAGTAGCGTCCTCCACGCTGTCATGCCCGACTGCGCCGAGCTGGTCGATGAGGAGTCGACAGTCGCATATGCTGTAGAGCGCCGTTTGAAGCCTTTTTAAATGTACAGTAGCTAGTGTGTGCTAAGACCTCGATCTCAGGCTAAGCCTAGGTAAGCGCACTTGAGATGCACGGAGTTCCAGAGATGTGGGGCTCCACGATGAATGAGCCCTAAACAGATTCTGCCAGGGCCGGAAACAATCGTGCTGACGCGAGACGGCGAAAGTGACGTACGTCGGACCGGACCATCCATGAATCTACAGGATCGCAGTGTTAATTCCTCTCTCTGCACTTGCTGGTGTGTCGCCGAGCCAGCTTGCTTTAGCGAAGGGATTCGCACAGAAGAGCGGCATTCTGCCACAAGCATAGCTACGCTGGGTTTGAGGATCAAGCCTGAGAATGTGTTTGCACCTTTCAGCATCCTTGCCGAGACCCGCTTTGCTAGAGCGAGACAGCAGGAAGCCGAGTGTATAGTGCCATTATCATTACATGTCTCTGCGTCGCGTTTACAACGATTGCCTGCAATATGGCCGGCTGGGCATTCGCGACTAGTGAGACTTAAGCTTAGGCAGCCTGAGACGACTCAGACCTGCAAGGAGACCAAACATCGATGCTTTCTTGATGCAGCCCCGACTCAGCATTGACTTAGTGTTTCCCACGACACGCTGAGCATCCGCTCGTCTCGTGTGATGACCTCGACCCTTTGGGTCAACGTATGCTGCGTCTGCTTGATGTGCTGTGAGGAAAACTGGTTCTGGCTCCGGTCAAGACCTCTTCAGCGGCGTCCAGAGCCATCTTGACTGGATGCCGGAACTATTGCTCGTCCACACGGCGCATACGGCTCACTTGATTCCTTGGATTACATGGACATGGCTCGGCCCCTCACTTCACAGCCGTTGCGGTCTTTAAACCTTGCTTAGCCTTCGCTGCGAGCTCCGTGCGTTAGGTTCTGACTCCACAACAAAGTTTTCATTGGCTCTTGCTCTGACTTGATCTTCATCTGTGTGACGGCCTAAAAGGTTGTCTCGCACGCGTGGCATGCTTTCCGTAAGAGGTACT